ACCTCACCTGCTCGCGCCAACAGCCGGCTGTTGGCGGCAGCGGCGTGGCTCACCGCGAGAGTGAGACGCTCCGCTGCGGTGCTCCCTGCTGTCTTACTGACGAGGCTCTGGCTTTAACTAATATTTATGGCTGTCTACTAACATTGTATGTCATGTTATAGAGCTTTCAGATGGACTAACCAGGCTGGCAGTGTGTGGCAGCTAACTTGTTTATAAATGTGGAAACATCTCATTCACACAAAACACAGATGAGCCGTGCAATGCTTTGATGTGTCTCTAATTATACATCGATGTAAACTCTAACAATGTATAGCCAAATATAAATCTAATTTTAATATGTTTTATATTACAGATGACAAACGATTTATTAGTAATATCACTGTTTATATCTTATCTGGATAAGATACNGGTTGGCCTTTTTTGTGTATTTTATGTATTTTTTTAGTATTGCCTGTTATTTAGCATTATTACTGTTTTTATTTTACCAAGATATACCGCTTAGTTTAAAAGTTATTATGTTTTCTTTACAATAAGTAATTGGAAGAAAAAAAATTCTATAAAAAATTTAAAAAAAATCTCAAAAAATTTTTGACCTCTTTTTTGTCGATAAAAATAGGTCTAGTTTCATCTATTTTCATATGTACACTTTAACGTGACTCACACTGTATAACGAAGTTTTTGGACAAAAATCTATTGCGAGTCTATCAGGGAATCTTGGGTTCCTTGGGTATATATCCTTTGCCCTCTGAAATATTTGAGGGTGTTGACTTACAAATTTAAATATTTCGAGAATGTACATGCTAGGAACAGTAAGAATACGTAATTTGGTAAAAAGTGGCCTACAAGAGTCAATCGGTCCACTTCGACAAATAGCTCGGATACATTTTTTTTGTGCAATAAATACTCTTTGGATGTCTGTGCTGTTCCCCCAAATTATAAGTCCATAATTGATGTTTGAGGCAACATATCCGTAATATGCAGATAGCGTTACACTTAAAGAAGTTTTTACTGTCAGACGACGAAGGACGTAAGCAAATCTGTTTATCTTATTACAGACTCTTTGAACATGGCTAGAGAAATTTAAGCTCTTGTTTAAGACTATACCAAGAAATAGCATGTCATTTGATGATTCAATATCAATATTTTGATGTCTTAACTTAAGGTTGATTTCCTTGCGTCCCTTTACATTGAATTGTACATATTTGGTTTTATTCAAGTTTATGTTTAATTTATTAGCCTCTAAGTAATCTATTGTATATTTAATTGTATTATTAATGTCAGATTCATAATTTATCACATTTTCAGATTTATTATTTATTATTATAGAAATGTCATCAGCAAACAGGATACAGTCATGTTCTATGAATTTCGGGAAGTCATTGATATATAATAGAAAAAGGATAGGGCCCAGCACGCTGCCCTGAGGGATACCTACCCCATTTATTTTATAATTTGAACGGTAGGAAGTTTCAATGTTTCTATTGTTTACCCTATTAAGTTCAACGCATTGGCCTCTATCCGTAAGATAAGATTCGAGCCAAGAGAGTGCTGGACCACGTATCCCATATCTCTCCAGTTTTGCTAACAGAATGTCATGGGCTACACAGTCAAATGCCTTTGACATATCAAGAAAAAGTACCGTCGAACATTGTTTTTGATCAAGGCCAAAGATTACCTTGTGCACTAGATTGAAGCATGCGAGTGTAGTGGACTTTCCCTTCTGAAACCCAAATTGTTCTGGCGCTATTAATTTAAATTTGTGACAAAAACTCATTAGTTTGTCTTTCATGGCCCTTTCAAAGACTTTTGACAAGATGGGTATTAATGTTATGGGGCGATAGTTTCCCATATCAGATTTATCGTTTTTTTTGTAAATAGGTTTGACTACGGAGAGCTTGAGTGTTTTAGGGAAGCGACCTGTTTCGAAAGACAAGTTAATTATATGGGTCAAAACCGGGGCAATTACATGTTTGCTTAATTTTAGGATTTTAGTGCATATTTCGTCAAAGCCATATGAATTTGTATTTTTTAGTGACGTTATAATATTTATAGTTTCCGTCACAGTCAGAGGTACAAGGAATATAGAGTTTGCGGTACGATTTATTTTAGATAAGGCTTTAAGATAAATGTCGGGATCCTGAGTATTTTCTTTACTACTTACTTTAATGTAGTATTCATTAAATGCTTCTGCAATGTCTTTGGCGTCTCTATGAGCTATGTGCCCCGCCCACTGCCACTTGATTTTAGCAATTCTGCGAGCTATGTCGGTTACTTTGGTTCTCCTGCGGATCTTCTCATTTCGGTCAACACTTCGAATAATTACTATTATCAAATTGTTGACAAAGGTAAAGCCTGGTCCGTGAGCACGTAGAATTTTGTCCAATGACCCCAAGCTACCCATCCTTATCGCTCGCGCGTAATTATATTGCTGTCGCGACTGTGCGACGCGCGCCCGCAGTGAGTGTGCGAGCGCGACAGCAACATAATTACGCGCGAGGTAGCTCGGGGTCATTGGACAAAATTCTACGTGCTCACAGACCGGGCTTTATATCAAATAACTGTACAATTGATTTGGGTTCAGTGAAGACATGTATAGATCGTTTCAGCCACGAAGACACGCCCCACCAATTTTTGGTCGAGGGAAGCACGGAATGCGGGGAATTTGATCCGAGCAATCCGCGCACCATTATTGTAGTGTATTGTATAGTCTATNTTTTAAACATAACCACACGATAAAGATACTGCAGTCTCCTTTCGGAGTTTTGAAACTTTCCTCTGCGTCACTGTTATGGATTCTCAGAAAGTTTAGGGTGAAATACTGATTTGATTAAATTACTTTTGCTTAGCCTCGACGAAAATTCACTCTCACCAAAGCATCATTTTAGAAGAAAGCTAAGGGCATTAAAGACATTAAGCTTCAACATACTTTCATAACAATAACATATTGACGGCGAAAGAAAATTTCTCTACAATAAGAAGCGGACTGGTTAATCTACGAACGAATGTTATGTGATCCAGTTTTCTAGCGATCTGGGCGCGGTTTGACCTTAATATTTTTGATTGAAACTAATGATTGTGCCTCAGGGTATTTTGTTACAACGAGCTATTTTCGGACGGTATCAATCTACATTTACTTTTTCATCACATTTTCATGGATGTGGATATTCTGTCGATTTTACCTATATACAATATACAAATCATTCTGGTTTTCGTAGTCTTCGTATTCCATTGAACTTACTTGAAAACATTGTTCATCATTTAATTTTCGTTAGACCTTTTTTTAGTCTTTGACCTCATCGCTTGTTGCATAAAATACAACCAAACTAGATTTTATATGAGTTTGATATTCCATTCGCATTTTAAACGTACACATTGGAGGCAGAATTCAACAAATAACTACCACTGGCATATTAATAATGATATAGGCGTAATGCCAATGCATGTTTTAATTAATAACGCGCTGGAAAAAGCGCTATGTAGAGACAGTTCGCCGCTATTGCGAATGCGGTACAAAACAAACCCATTCAATTAACTACGTCGCTCGACCAATGGAGCCATTCGCTTAATGAAATTTCGACTGAAATACAAACTGACCTAGACGGGGTTGTTTATGATGAACGTTACCACCAAATGCCATGTCTATTGTGGATTACATTTCTGGCGTGTCAACCAAAACTGATAGTTGCGGCTTTAATTGAATTTCGTCAGCCATTTTGGTGAAATTAGATCATCAATAAAGTGTGTTTAAAAAGCTACAGATCCCTAAAAGCGAACAGCAAAACACAGTCATGTTAAATTAGCTACATTAGCGGAAAAATTAGTAACTGCGCTCAGAAAGTACAAATTCAACCTAATTCCGGTAGAAACGTATGTTAGCTTGATGTTCATAGTGTGCGCGTAAATTGAATCTAATTGCCGCAACGAAGCGTTGAATCAGTCCAGGCGGCGCTGCTGGCCTGAATTGTGCCTATTTACTTACTTAGGAAGAGAACACCCACAGACCACCTGTTTACCAAAGTAAATTATGCTGGACAGTGACATCAACGGACTCAGGCCGCCATTTTGGATACTGAACCCTGATTAGTCTGGACAAAGTTATTGTCTCGTAGTACAGTCAACAGTGTTCTTTTTTAAAGAAGGATAATATGAAAACATTATCAAATACGACCTTTTATTGACCATTCCAAGTGAGTCACTTGTCTTACATTCGAAAAATTGCAAATATGTGTGCATAAGCACACAGTGTTTTCGTAAACACAGACAACGTGCGCATGATGCAAAATAAACCCACCATAATGTAATGCAGACACATCAGAATACGTGATTCTAAAAATAGCTGTGCATTTAAATATTCATGACATCAAACATTTAAACTATTTTCTCCATTCAAGTAATAGATATTGTGCCTTCAATGGTGAACGGCTAGTCGCGGTTTTGATTTTGGGAGTGCGATTAGATTCTTCAATCCCATTGTCCGGCAACAGCCTCGGAACTAAGTTCGCAACTATGTTTAATGATAAAGACAAAGGATAGTTCCAGTTAGCGTCCTCTCAGAAACTTAACAGTCATGGTTTAGAACATCTATTTTACATAGCCCCATTATTCAATCTTTAGAACAACGTTGCCCAAAACTAGAATTATTATTTGAAAGTCGTTCTGTATTTCTTCCAAACCGACATACGAACCGTGCATCAAGTGCCCGGCGCGGGAAAACACGTCACGTTTAGTTTAATTAATCACGCAAATAGATTTTATTACGACAAATATTTACATTAGCTGTAAAACTGTTTTACGGGAACCAATGTCCCAATTTTTTGGCGCGATGAGTTATAGCTTGGATCACTATTATCCTGCTTTCGCCTCCGAGATTTATTTTACCGTGTAGTTACCCTGTACGACAAGCCAATCCGCACACAATATTCAGCGTAGTAGTAGTAAAAAACAAAAGAGCGGGCAACCCCACCCCTACCACGCTGTGGGCTCGGNGAATAAAAATTAAATGTAATATAATACTTAGCTACCTACGTTTCGCTACTTCATACTGAACTGAACCGGAGCCTGACAATGCACCACACGACCTTTTTCTGATTATGTAAGTAAAACAATTTTACAACTCAATCGCAATAATCAATAGTAAGTGTTAAGATACCATAAACATTAAGCTTGGGCATATCTTTGGAGTACTCAGCCAGTGTTCTTTTTTCTTTTCACCAACTGTCGTTAGGTCATATAACCTTTCTACTGGCAGGTGTTCACGCGCGCCTACTACCTTTGTTTAAAGGCTTTTTTTTATATAAAAAAATACTTTTAACAAAATTCAACCAACAGGTAAAACGCCATGAATAGAATAGAATTGATCACATATCACAAGGAAGGAGGAGTGATATCGCCAAGAAGAAATTACTCAAGACGCAAATAGTAGTTCACGACACGACAAGTAAGTGTACCTAACATTATTACGCTAAACGACCAAGAAATATGAGATAAGTAATAGGCTAGATGACAAAATTTCAATTATTTGTCCGTCAGACAGATAATTAGAAAACATTAGACTCATATTTTTTATTTTCTTTTATAATTAAATAATAACAGTGCTACATCGAGTTGAAATGTCGCGATACGTCACGCTTGAGTAGAATTTTTACTCAAAAGTGACGTCATTCAACTCAATTTAATACTGTAGTGTATATTCGATTATAGAAAAAAAAAATACGAGTCTAATTTTTCTATCTGTCTGACGGACTAAATATAATTTTGATTTCATTACCCAGTCATCATCCCTATTGTATATTATTGCAAATTCATTTCCGAGACATGTTCAATATTATTCTTATAAAATGAATTCTATGCATAATTTCATACCCATAACACAAGCATATTAATTGCTTACTTTGGGGCTAGATGGCGCTGTGTGAGATTGTCCAAAGATATTTATTTATTTAACACTTAATTTTTACACTTAATTTGAAATCTTATTTTAAACGCAAATGTCACACAATAAATGCTTGCCGCATTTTATTTAGATGCCACTTTAACTAATAATTAGGTATTATGTNTGACTCACTGACTCACTGATCAGGGGTATTTTTAGGGTATTTAGAGGGGAGAGGGGTAAAATTGTTAGTGTTTGTTTTTTACTAGATTTTTTGACACCCAGGTTTTTTAGATTTTTTGAACCAAAAAACAAAATGGAGGCGTTTTTTGAGACAACAACTTTTTTGTTTTTCATCCTGAATTTTTTCTTTTTTGGTGGTTGGTTGGGGTTGCCAAGGTTTGTTCAAAAATGTGGGAAAAAAACGAAAAAACAAAATGGCCGCGCCGCCATCTTGGATTGAAAATGCGATTTCGAGGTGTTTTTAGGGAGGTGTCACTCCGAGATGCGCAATTGTTTATGAAAATTTCTTTTGAGTATTTGTGACATGTATAGTCTTCTTAAGAGCCACATTTACAGATTATCAAAAAACAAGATGGCGGCTGAGCCGTCGGCCATTTTGTTGCGATCAAAAAATTCCCAAATTTTGGTAGCAATTTCCCGGTAGATGGCGACACCGGAGTGGGGTACAATGTTCCGGGCGATTGTTGGTCTGTTATTCGAGTGTTGCCATGAATCGGAAAAAACTACCATTTTGGAAGAAAATTTTCCACCACGGTCCCGGATAGTAGAAAATGGAAATTTCTAGAAATTCCAAAAAGTTGGTATGCAGTTTGGTGACGATTGGGGACCCGAATGACATTTCACTATTTTATCAAAAAAGTCTGGCAACACTGAAAGTTACGGGGAAAATAAATATTTCGAAATTTTGGAATTAATTTTTCGAGTAGTTGGCAACATTTTGGAAAGCCGAGTTGTATGAGGCGGATGTGTGTCTTGTCAAGAGGTGTCGCTTGGGTGACAAAATTTCCCCAGTGTTGCCATACTTTGAGAGATTNTTTCTTAGCATATTCTAAAGTCGGGTGCATCCTATAATAACATTAAATAACCACCGCTTAGCAATATCGTTAGTGAAATCATATAATTTATTGAAATATATAATTATTTAAATAAATATAATTTATAGGTCAGGTTTCAAGAATCAAAAGATTGCTATTAAATAGTGCTATTAAATAGAAACCAAACTTTTTTCCTCGCAACAGTGTTACTTGGAATCCAAATAATAAATAATAATAAAATAAATATCCTTGGACATTTTACACTGCGCTTCTAGTCCCAAACTAAGCAAAGCTTGTACTATGGGTACTAGACAACGGATATAAACATACTTATATACTTTTTTTTTTTGTAAATACATACATATTATACATAGAAAACACCCAGTCGAATACAAACAAATATGTTCATGCACACAAATGTTTGTACTGTGCGGGAATCGAACCCGCAACCTCCTAAATTAATACTGTTTTGGAATACTGGTCAAACTGTATCCAAATAAATTAATAAGTTTTAATTAACCACATTATTTATTTATTTAATTAAAATTCAAGTGAGCTTATGTTTTACAACAATCAGAGTGTTAGCCTTGCAGTCACTGTGATCGATTCGGTGTTAACCACTACCGTCGTCAAGCTCAGTTCTGAGATGAAACTGGATAAATATAGGAAAGGAGTGTCGACACGAGGGCGTTCGGCCCACACAGCACGCGACACGCGGCAGTATNGCTAAACGACCAAGAAATATGAGATAAGTAATAGGCTAGATAACAAAATTTCAATTATTTGTCCGTCAGACAGATAATTAGAAAATATTAGACTCGTAATTTTTATGTTATTTTATAATTAAATAATAACAGTGCTGCATCGAGTTGAAATGGCGCTATTCGTCACGCTTGAGTAGAATTTTTACTCAAAAATGATGACACGCGACATTTCAACTCAATTTAATACTGCAATTATTCGATTATAGAAAAAAAAAATATGAGTCTAATATTTTCTAATTATCTGTCTGACGGACTAAATATAATTTTGATTTCTTTACCCAGTCATCATCCCTATTGTATATTATTGCAAATCCATTTCCGAGACATGTTCAATATTACTCTTATAAAATGAATTCTGTGCATAATTTGAAATCTTATTTTAAACGCAAATGTCACACAATAAATGCCTGCCGCATTTTATTTAGATGTCCCTCTAACTAATAATTAGGTATTATGTGATAATACTACCACGCATCCACTCACCTCTATGTTGTCATTTCTTAATTACCTATAGTCCTTTTTTGCGAATAAAATATAAGAGAATGAAAACGAAATAATTACAACTGTCTTTTTATTTCCAGGTTCATCAGTATCATGGAATTATCGACATTGGACTCTATGTTGTCATTTCTTAATTACCTATAGTCCTTTTTTGCGAATAAAATATAAGAGAATGAAAACGAAATAATTACAACTGTCTTTTTATTTCCAGGTTCATCAGTATCATGGAATTATCGACATTGGACTTGAAATCTCAGTTGAGGTTCCGGTATTAGATTGAGGACAGCAGTCAAGTATCGATGAACACTGATTTGAAGATGCTTGACGTTCTACAGAGGAAGCAAGAAAATAATAATTAGAGATATTTACAGATTAAAACGTAGTAGTTATGCACTTTTATTCAAATTAATATTGTTTACTGATCAGTAATAATACAATAACCCAAGACTTGTAGCAGCTTATGCTGAACCTCATCATGGCTCTTTTGTTTTTTTTTTATTTATTTTTCATTTTCTAATATTAATTTAGTGAACATAAAATGCCAGCTACTCGGATATGTAGGTGACTTGGGACTGATTTTTTAATCGTTGAATATCNTCACTTGGTAAGTTCGTTTGATCATATAAAAATGCATCATTTTAATATTTACTCAAATCACAGAACGCTAGGAAGTAGTAGGTGAAGCTTAGTCTATGTAGGTATAACAAGCTTTTTCTAGACCAAGAGGGCTAAGAAGAAAATACATTGTGATCTTTATGCTCCTGAATGAAGGTGAGGTAAAATACTTATTGAATTTAACATAATGAATATTTAATAGGGTTAATAAATATTTCAGAAGCAATCCAATTATGTTATGTAACCACCATGGAATCCAATAAAAACTGAAAAAAAATTCCCAAAAAAGCACAATAAAACTGTTTCAAGCGGTGTTTCCATTATTCGTTTTGTTCAACAAACAAATAAAACAAAATTTATAATACTTTTTCCGCGCTGTTGCTTTAGCGTAGACGGGCGTTGTGAAAGAGCCCAAACCACGGAAAGCGTGACAAGGCAATATTTTTTCATTGCAAATCAATGCTATCCGATCGTTTTCCGCAACACACAAAACAAATTGCTAGTCAGCAGAAATAGCATTGCATCCATTTTTATAACAACGCGACACGCAAACTACAAGGTAACCTTTTGTGCGCTTAGCATTAATATTTTATATTATTACCTTTTTAAGTTTACTTGTATTTTTAACCGACTTCAAAAAAGGAGGAGGTTATATGTTCGGCTGTACGTGTTTTTTTTTTAGTTTAATATCTTGCCTTTTAGTAGTCTCAGATTACCTTCTTTTTCAATATAGCCAAAATAAGCTGAACCATTTGCAACCCTTCTTGGGGAAAATATCTACTGAATTTAACCACTAACTCTTATTTTTATTGCATTTCTAGAAAGCACTGGTTTAATGAGTAATGTCCACTTAAGTAGTGTTTATTTTAAATGAAATCAAAGTAAAAAACTTCTACGGCCATTTTATTATGATTAATGCAGATCTTGTGTGTAACCATTAACGACACTAGAAAGTCTTAGGTACTACGAGTAAATTAATTACTGAACATACTTTTATACAACCTACTAACGTCACAGCTTCATTTTACAAGCTATCGGCATTGCTGCCTTTATCGCCCTTTGAAACAGCTTCGTTTAGATCTTCTCTGAGATTCCGAGCTCTCAATATGCAGCAATTAATTTAACTTCAAACAATTTGTTGCTCTTACAGACCGCGGTCTTGTCATTTCGTGACGCAACAAAACCGGCACAATGGTAGACCTTGGTACTAGAGACTATTCGGAGCGAACTCGCCTCAGTAATTACGGCAAAGTGGTTACTCGTACAGCAGATTGACAACAAAAAACATTAATAATAGCCGTGGATGTGGAACAGCGCCGGAGAGTATATAAAGCGTAAGGCAAAAAACACTAAATGACAAATGATTCGACAGATTTGAACGCGTAGATTAGCGACATTAGAAACTGATTTCATTACATCAGAAAACTAAACTAAGACCCGTGTTATGATCACGTGGCCGCGTTTTTCGAAAGTGCAATAAGCATTGAACCGTTATTGAGCATGCAATAGCACGATCCTAAGCCCGAGTAGAAAGAAAATTAGAGCCGTAATTATAAGATACCAGCGGGCTTGCGAGTACCAACAGCAACGTAAGGTAGCAAAAAATGTTCATTCCATCGATTGTTTGAACCAATACTATTGTATTCTATTACATACTTTTATTCGCGATAATACAAGCTTTTATTGGTTCTTGTATTATGTTGATAACATAAATATGTCACGATAAGATCTTGCTTTTCTTATTCAATGCCCATTCTGAATTTATTTGCTTCCATTTGCAGATAAATAATGTACTTTAATCAAAATATCTATTCACCTTCATCGCTGGTTTATTCAATTAAGATGAATATTTAATCGCATCAGTTGAATTAACTTCGTTGCTGTCTCTACCAATACAGCGGAGGGCCCTAATAAAAGCCAGAGGCATTGTCCACGTTAATGCACTCCGCAGTACATTACAATATCCATGTTCTAACACTCCACCCTTATTACTTGATTCGATTAACCTCTCATTTCTTTCGGCAGCGCATCTAATGTTCATGTCGACATTCTTGAGGTCATCTCACTAATTGGGATCAATTAGTTGGGGCAATCATATTGAGAGGTCGGCTTACCAATGAAATATTTTATCACAGCATTCAGTAACTATTCTCATTTTTTTTTTTTTTTTTTTTATGCTAGCCAAGGCATTTATTGGCTCTTATTGAATAGGAAAGTGTAAAGACAGTGTTACCTAAAGATTGTAAGTCAGATCAAATCACGTCGAAGGCAATGACTTCTACGAAATCATTAATCGTGACTTGCCGTGGATCTAATAATGGTGAGGAGTATCCGAGCGTGGCGGCGAGTGCGGGCGGTCGTCTGTCGGTCTTACGCATTCGTCCGCTAACCGTGAAGAAACTCATCCATTTACATCAATTCTTCAAACAAGATGACATTCAGGTACATCATTTGTTTCTGATCGGCCGGGACACCAGTTGCGTTGTACGTGGTAACGACCAATGGCTCAGGTAACAGAAGCTGTCATTACGAGGAATTGCCAGGGATATCCTCTTACACAACAACCTGCGACGAACGAACTCCAATTTATTCGACTTCATTTCTTTCTAGCAGGCCATTAGTTATTTTATCAATTTGTTCGATCAGCCCATATCGAATTTAAATTTCTCTAACGACACATTAATTGGATTTTAGATTATAGATAAGATGACAAAACAACAGAGGCAGATTTCTCTCAGAGTACAAATCATCTTTGTTTTCCAGCTCATTTTCAAATGGCCTTCGGACATAACAATCTTGCCTTTGAAATGTAAATTATTGTGGTCATAAATATCGAAATGCTTTTAATAATCTGTGCAAACTGCTTTTGACTGAGTATTGTCATTATATTTTCAGGCACTTCCAGGCGTAAAATGAATAGTTTCTTCTACAAACATTCGTTCTCCGTGAATATTATTGTTATTATTGATAGGTTATGTACTTTCTCATAAATACAACTGGAAAGTTGTTATTCTGTTTAAAAGTTATCAAAATCATAACGATTTTGTCTATTTATTAATAAGTATCACATTGATCATTCATTATTTTCGATACTGTTTTGGATGTTGGTATTTTATTTTAGAGAGTTAGCGGTAAATGTTTACAATCTTATTTGAAATCATATAAGATTCCTATATGACTCTGGTCTCTGGGGAAATGCCGAATGTTTTGTTTTACTTCTTTTCGATCTAGATTAGTAAACTTAAAGTAGCTTCTATTTTCTTCTGCTCTATATCATAACTTTTCTTGCATTGTATCATGTCTTTTGATTGCAGAAAACTATTTAACATTTCTTTCTATGGCTTTTTCTTATCGTCTAAAGTTCTTTATTGTTTAATTTGTTTCCAAAACTTTGCATTCAGCTTCGCAAATAACATATGCACTAGTTTAGTTCTTCTGTATTAATAATACAAAGTTAAAATTTGGTCATTTAGTAAAACTGTTAACACTAGTTAGTTAGGCTTATCTAAAGCGGTGCAAACAATCAACGGACCATAAACTCGTATCGCACCAATAAAAGTATCGTGCGCTTTAATGAAACTTCGATAAAACTTCACCAATATGTTTAGTAAACCTCCCAGAGACACCACAGCAACAACAAACTAATAGCCTCCTCAACAATGACTTCGTGGGAAATTATTAAAAGTGAAATTAAAATCGCGCCAAGAAGTGCATGGGGTATGTAGTATCCGGCTGCCTTTTTATAAACAATGCTCCCCGTTACCTAGAAAACAATAGCACATCTCACAATCACACACACTGCCTTCGTCGGAAAACGCACATGCACAATTTTCCGAACACCGGTTACGGACACTGCGTCGGTCGCGTCGGAGCAAAGGGCGGCACGTACTAGCGCTGCCTCTGCGCGCGATAGACTGACGACTCGCGGCCGGACTCGCGAGCGAGCGGGACGCGCGGCGGGCGTGCCGACTCTATGCGCGCGCAAGTTCACCTCCCTTTCCTTCTTGACAACTTCACATACATCCATCCCTCACGCGCACGCTTTAGCACACCTTTCATTCCCGAGACAGGTGTTCCTTCCCCTGTGTGCGTCCAGACGCGCCGGCCTTACGTGTGTGCGCGCTTCCTGCGGCGGCGGATCGTTTTTTATACCGAGCAGAAATTATAAAAAAGTAAATGGAGGGAAAATTAAATAAAACGTTTACAATGAAGCGTTTTCCTGTGCGCTTTGAATGATTCAGTGTGCGCTATTTTTCAGGACGGGTATCATCGAGGTTTCGCTGCGGGAGTGATTACGGGGCTTTTTACGGATGTTTGAGTGATGTAGGCGGGCGTAATTAGGCACGGGGCGGAAAGGTATATTGATTGCGGTGACGCGGCTTTGTGGAAAAATCGATATTTTTGTATTAAAGGTGGCACGCGATATGTCCGGCCGGCGTCCGTATAAGTAAACCTCCGTATCGATCGCCAGACAACTTTCGACCCTAGTTTATGGCGCGCACTATAACTTGAACCGCACTTGCAAACGTTATAGAGAACGCTTTAGCTGAATGGCTTTCATAAAAATCTCTATGAGTGGGCTTCAAAAATAACTTACTTTATCTATCAAGTTGCGAAAGGTCCCGAGGACAAGCTCCCAGTCAAAGGGGAACGTTTCTGGTCTGGATGTAAAGGTTTACGCTCCAAAAATATTTGACGTTGCCATAACATTAGTGAAGTCAGCGAGGGCTCTGGTGAAAGCGCTCTACAAAAAGATATCAACTTTTAAAAACTACGTAAATTACATTAAGAGCCAGCGGAGAATACGCAAACATCGCTCACCGATGGAAACTTGCAACTTTCAAGTGTCCATCAAATAATTTTAAGAACAAGCGAGGGGAAATTTTTCAGGACATTCACTGTGCAGTTCTGTAGCAGCGAATGCAATAAATTATACTCTTTCTGAATAACATGCTCCGTTTCGACGGGCGTTGCC